TCAGCCCGCTGCTCTGCATTCGCTGGGATGGAGGGCTGTCCTCGTGACCCCTCGCAGAGCAGCTGTTAAGCTAACAGTTTGGCACGGCTTTCAGAGGATCCCTGAGAAAACGCAGGTCATGCAATGTTCCGTCATTAGTCATGCTTTGTGACCACTTGCAGTATTGTTTACGGTTTCTTTAGTATCCTGGAGCAGAAAGCAATAAAAACCCAACCTATCTGGTGTGGGACAATGACTCTTTATGATTAGGTCGGATTAGATTAGTAAGTGGGGGAGGGAGAAGCCCTGTTTTGGGGTTGCTGCCTTGCAGGGCTGTGCCTGAGTGCCCTTGGGCCAAGTTGTAAATGCCCCGTGTGGTGAGCTTTCATGCATTCTGTGTGTTTCCCTGCTACAAAGCCTTCCCAAGACTCAGCAGGCCATTGCAGTCTTTCTTGCATGTCTCGTACGTGTGGCTGTACTTGAGTAGGTTGTCAGAGTACCTGTACATGTCTTTTGTATCTCTGCTCTCCTTGATCCTGCTTGGTAGCTATCCACGGCTGACTCCCAGAAGTTAGCTTCTGGGGCATGGCTCTCCTCTGTTTTCTTGGAGAGGTCTCTGCTTTACCTTTCTGAAACCAGCAGTGAGAATGATCTCTCTGACCTGCTGCTGGAAGGAACATTCACACACACGCACACCCCTTTTGGCCCCTCTAGGCACATCCTAGCCTGGCTTGGCTCTCTTCATGTGAGTGTCACCCGGTGCATGTTGCGCTGAACTGGGTGTCACTGGAGGAGCAAAGGTACTGGCCTCGGTTGTCTCGCACTTCAGGAAGCCCATAGCCAACATCTCTCTCCCACTGTGGACGATAGAGCTATGCTTGCCGACTCCTTCCTGACCTTTAGTAAGAAATTCTCTTCTGTGTGACATCACTGACACTTCTCAGTATCGACTCAAATTGTATTTCTGTGAATGTGAATTTCTGGAATATACCACACCTCAGTGGGTGACAGGAAGAGCGAGGCAGGGCGGAACTGTGCGTGTGAAGCTCCGACTGAACATCCACTGGTTTCGTGTCCATCTATCTCCCTGTGGGGGCAGAGAGCAGCTCAAAGCAGGAGCGTAAAACACGTTCTTGCTCAGGAGAGTTTTTCTATGGTCTTTGTGGAGGTGAAACTGGGGGCTTGACATCAGGTGCCACTTTACCACTGAAGTAAAGCCCTACCATGCTGTCACTGGCTGCAGCTTACACAGAGCCTCTGTGTAGTGCTTTCTACTCTGAACTCCTACTGAGTGTTCCAGTGAGCTAGCACAGAGGCTTATCCTCACCAAGGAGCTTGTCAGTCCTTCTACCTGTCTCCAGTCTCCCACCAAAGCGTCCTATGGCCTAATCTCTCTTCTATGCCAAGCAGGCTTTGTGGTGTTGCAGGTGACCAGCTACTCCTTTCTCACATGTCCCATAGTCTGCTCCTCATAGTAGCTGCACTGATTGCCCGTGACGGTTAAAATGCTCTTGGAGGGGTGCATGCATCAACCATGAAAGCTGAAACACTTAAAGCATGTCAGAACCTAATAGAGATGGGGAGGATGATGACAAAAGCCACTCTATTAAGCAAGTAGTTGGAGTTTCCTAGGAAAACTGCTGCCACTGTAATACATCTAATCCTTTGGGCCTGGGAGGAAATGCCAGCATGGCCAGGACCTCTGCTGTGGTCTTAGTACAGCTGTGCCGATGGAGGCAGGTGTGTTCTTGTTGGGACCTGGCACAGGAAAGCAAGCGTTGCCTCTTCCACAGATGAGAAGAGGCCTTTCCAGCTGGCCTGGCACTAGGAGACCTGCCTTGCTCACGACTGACTGAGCTGTGCCTGTGTTCACTGGGATGAAGCAGGGACTGAATGTGGATAAGCAAGGTCTGGGCTTGCTTGAAGGGAACGGGAGCTATCAGAGAGGATTGTGTAGTGGAGCTGTTGTCTCCCTGGCCTCGGCAGGTGTGAGAAGACCTTTGTCCTGCTGCAGCTCTCTTGTTATTGTCGAAGTTTGAAATGCTGTCGCAGTGAAAATTCGAATGAGAGATTTCCCCTCTTATCTTGCGCATAGTAACTCCCTGCGGGGCTGAATCCTTCTCTGACAGCAAGGTTTAAGTAGTCTTGATAGGTAAAGTACTCTGTCAAAAAGTTGCTGCTGGACCTCCTCAGAGGCCTTGGCAGATGGTCTATAGATTGTGCATTTCCCCAGACTTCCCTGAAGGGTGGGGGAAAAGGCAAGTTAAGGGCTATAAATGACATGGGGAGGGCTGTGCTTGGCACTCTGGCAGCAGAAACCAGCTGGGCTGGCTTTCCTGGGACCATGAGTCTGAAAGCAGGAGCTTCTGCTGCATAAGAGGGTCTCACTTAGGCTGCTCTCCCCAAATCCGGCTGTGGTTTTCATGCTGGGCTGGACTGGGAGGACATGGATGATCTCAGTGTGACTCCAGTAAGCCAGGAGCTAAGCTGCTCTGAAGACTTGCAAACAGAAAGGGCTCCGGGCGCTTTCCCTCAGTTCTTCCTTTTATGGTTGACTTTGGCCAGGCTCCTTGCAGGTTCCAAATACCTTGCAGAGCACAAGATACATGGGAAGGTGGGAACAGGAAAGAGGTGTGCTAGTGTACCATGCAATGACCATATATTCTGGCCTCTTCCTTCACTGCAGGCTGAGTTAAGAGATGAGTATGGTCTGATCCTACGGTGCTTTGGTGAGAGTAATCCTAGGTGTGGTCTTGCCTGAAAGCAAACTTGCATGACTGGGGGCAGATGGTGGAGCTGGGAAACGGCCTGCTGTATCCTTGCTCTGGCACACCTCGTGGAGATGCATCTGTGCTAGGGTGCAGATGCTCATATTTACCAGGAACCGGCTGCTTACTGCAAGGGACTTACCCTCCGTTCTCATAAACAGGCCCCTCTTGCTGTCCTGGAGATCGCAATCATCTCCATGGTGAGAGCTGCACAAACAGAAGGCAGGATAATGACCTTATGGATTAAAGGGCAAAAGGAGGTTTCCCAGTGGGTGAAGCTTATGCTGGTTGCCCTGGTTCTAGGTTGGACATCTCTGGGAAGGCAGGCTGCAAGCACGGAAAGGCGCTCTGCAGCAGTAGTGGGGCCGGGAGGTGGCTTACCCAGCCCTGCAGTGTGGAGAGCAAAAGGCAGCACGTCTTTGAGGAGCAAAGGCGTGGAATTGTTCATGGATGTGCCCTTTGAGCATATTGGAGAGGCAGGAATCTAATAAAAACTACCAAAATCTGCCTTTCACTGGCTCTGCTTACCTGCCTTAGATGTTGGTCCAAAGGGAAACAGGGCTGTGCTGTCCTTGTTAGCTCAGCAACATCGAGACCAGCAGCATCCCGGTGCCTGTCTGAGCCTTGCCGTCCCTACCCTTGCCCCAGTCCTGGTGTGCTGGCCTTCAGTTCCCTTTCTTCAGCGCTCGTGTACACATGGGGAGCCTGAACCTCAACAGAGCTCCAGCTCCAGGCGTGCAGAGCTCCTGCCATTCTGGTTCAGGCCTGGTCTCGTTTGTTCTGGAGCAGCTCATGCCAAGGAACTTCTTCAGGTCTTTTCCATCGTCTTAACTTTTTAGGGTTAGAGCTCTAGCAGCAAGAGCAAGGGAGTGTAAAATCCCAAATATCCTGCTCTTCCAGCATCTGTGTCCCTTGCCTGTGCTGCTGAGAGACATTTGCAAAGGCATCTTCTGCTGATTGAAAACCCCTGCATCTCAATGTTTTTCAGGCTCTCAGCTTGGTTGGCTTATGGCTGAGCTGGCAGTGAAGGTGCCCAGAGCACCTCTCCTTTCCTTCCTGGAGCTTTTCCTCTCAGCTCCTTGTATTTACATCATGCCTTGGTCCCGTGCTTGGACCTTCTACTTGGAGAAGGCCACCAGCCTTTCTTGTGTTCCCAGTCTTCAGGCCAGCTGTGTCTGCCTTCTCTGGCTGGACTGGGGGAACTGGGAGGTGATCTTTCCCCACTGCTTGGCACTGGTGGAGGCCTCACCTGGAGTGCTGCGCCCAATTCTGGGCTCCTCAGTGCAAAAGAAACATGGTCATCCTGGAGAGAAGGGGAACAAAGGTCTTGCACTGGTGGAACTCCAAAGCCGTGGTTCCAGAAAGACTGTCCCGTTACTGCTGCGCCAAAGGCTGAATCTGCTAACCCTGTGTCACGTAAGCGGAGAACTTGGCTAGGGACATGGTAACACGGGCTAATGCGGAAAAGCAGGGAGCGTTTGATGGCAGAGGTGTGAAAAAGCTGGTGTGTGGTTTTGCGAGGGTGGGAATGAAGGTTGTGCCAAAGCTGCTAGCCCTGCTGGTTTTGGAAGGGAGCGGAGCTGCAGAAACGTGACCCTTTCTCCGTAGTCTTGGCGAGATGGAGCTGTGCCGCTGGCAACGAAGCGGAGCTGGAGCCGGCCTAGCTGCAGATTCCGCTTTGCTGGTGTCCTACCAGTCACGCTTTTGCACGTGCTCTCTACAGAGTACGGCAGTGCAAGGAGAGCAGTGGGAATGCTGGAAGGACTAATGTTCCCAGCAATCTTGCAGGGAAGCTGGAGCCAGGCTCCTCTCGGAGGAGGGTTTGGATGAGAGACTGATTAGCTTTTAGGAAAAGGCTTTTCATTGAGTGTGGTCAGACACTGAAGCAGAGCCCCAGGGAGGTTGTGAGATATCCATCCTTGCAAATAACTCAGTTCAGCTGGAGAAAGCCCTGAGCAGCTGGACCTGGCCATGCTTGGAGCAGGATGTTGGACCAGAGACCTCCAGAAGTCCCTTCCATATACTCTTCGGTGTAGGTAGGAGGTGCCCAGATGCTGTGGTTCAGCTGTAGTATAAATAGCAGCCTGGGCCTGCGCTTGACTCCCTTTTCCTGGGCTGGCAGGATAAGGAGACATTACGGAGGTGCCTTACTGGTTCTGGAGATACTCACAGGGACTGAAGATGCGTGTCTGTTTGTGCCAGGTGCTGGGTTGTATTATTTGTATTGACAGGCTTCCTCTTGTGTTCCTCCAGGTACAGCTACATGATCGACAACGTCATTCTGCTGATCACTGGGACTCTGCACCAGCGTTCCATCTCTGAACTGGTGCCCAAGTGCCATCCTCTGGGAAGTTTTGAGCAGATGGAAGCCGTGAACATTGCTCAGACGCCTGCAGAGCTCTACAATGCAATCCTGGTGGACACTCCCCTGGGTGAGCAGAGCCTTTCAAAATACCTCTCAGTTGCATGTGGGGCACATGTCCCTTTCTCCCCCTGGTCTAACTAGGTCCAGCTAAGTCCTAAGCTGTGTTCCAGGAAGACGAAGTGGTGGGTAAGGCATGGATGTGGCCATACTGCCTGTGATAGCTGGACCTGAGTTCAGGTTTATGCTTGGCCTGTGCCAGTCTTTTTCCTCTGGAAGGCCAGCCATTTCTCTGTACGCCCCGACAAGTGTCTGAACCAGGACACTGGTAGTGCAGACTGCTGTGAGTTCGGCTTGTGTGAGCCAAGCCTTGAGCTGCTGTGGTGTAGTTAGGTCTGATCTGGTAGATATATCCATTTATCAGCTCTTCTGGGAAGTGTCACCTGAAATTAAGGGAGGAAGGAGAAAGATTGAGAGGTCTTAGACAATGTGATCTTTTAATAATTGTCATTGTACGTGTGGCACGCGTGCTTCCTTAGTGAAGGGCTCTTGGGTCCTAGGCTGGAATGACTCACTGAGTTTCCAGCACTTTCAGTTGCACCGTTGAGCAATTTCTTTTAGGCAGTTTTTATAGATCATTACAGAGATCTGCACGTGCCCAGTCTCGGTCTGAGACTGATAGATCAAGGAAAGCCCTTGACATACCAAAAAAATACCCAACCAACAGCAGCAAAATAAATCTCCAAAAGCCTTTTTAAGGTCATTGTCTAGCAGGGTCCTGCACTGAGTTATCCAGTCTCAGGGTTACAGGCCTTGACCACGAGGCACACAATGCTAAAACCAAGTGTTTTATGAACAGCTAGTCAGACAGATAACATTCTTTAAGGACAAGAGGTGTAGGATGTGGTTCTGGAGAAAATATGGAAGTCTTTTTGCAGTATTAAGAGAGGTAGTCACAGGAGACTTGCAAGTTTAGCCTCTGTGGGCAAAACCGTAATGAGGTACGCCTGAGTCAGTGATTAATTGTTCTTTTGGGGTTGCTAGAAAGAACAAAACACTCTAAATCATCATACTGTCTTTGATAGAAATAGTTGTTTTTGGAACTGAAAGTGCTTTTGCAAATGCTCTGTGTAATAATGAGGCAAGTGAAGTAGTTGTCATGGAAAAATGACTTGCCAGATAGAGCCCAGCACAGGAGGGAAAACATGTCCCAAGAGATCTGGGTTGCAAGGTAGGGCAACAGCGCAGCAGGAGAACCGAGGCTGCATGCAGCTGAGCTGAGCCTGCTGTAGGGATGATGTGTGGGAAGAAAACCCTCCTCATGAATAAGCAGGAACCTTCCCATTTTGTGAATAAGAGAGAACCAAGTATTTAAAAGATATTAGCTCTGAGATCATCAAACTTCCAGCTGTTCATGGAGTGAAAATGCCCTGTTAGAATCTTGAGGTGGTTCTGGAGAACAAGGCTGCCAGCTGAGGGTCTTTGCCTCGTGTGAAGCTCACCGGTACCCGAGTGAGCTTTGCCTGCTCTCCCTTGGCTACACGGAGGCCCTCAGACCTTTGCCCCGGCCATGCCCTTGAGGCTGTGTACCATCTCGTGTGGCATTTCTTCAGCCGGAGAACATGGGGAGTAGCTGTGTTGCCTAAACAAGCAGGCTCCAGTTGTTTAACTTGCAATCTTTCCAGTGACCACACGCAAAGAAACAGCAGCTCTATCTCCTAAAAGTACTTGAGTAGCTACGTGGCTTGGTAGGAATGCCTAACCCCAAATGGCTTTCATAGGTTAGCAGGGCAAAATAAGACTTGCTGTTAGCCTAATTTGGGATATTGGAGGGCCAAGAACTGAAATAGCTGTGTTCTCATTCCTCTGCTACTCTGAAGTAGCCACTGCTCAGCTATCGAGGCGAGCAGTGTCCTGCAGCGCAAACCAGTCCTGGCACGCTCCGTTTTCATTTCTGCCAACCGTAGGGAGCAGCGCTCCTCCAGCTACGTGGCACTGGGCTCTGATGCCGTTGGAAAGAAGCTTCTGGAGGGGTTAACCCCTGTTCAGGACTCTCCAGGCCCACAGTGTGGTTACTATCTGTGCCAGGGAGCGCTGCTTATGGAAGTGGGGCACGCCAAAGGTGCACCGTGGCTGGTTTGTCGCACGGAGTGGGGCACCGGTCAGTTCTCAGCGTGAGCGCAGTGTCCTTTACCCGCAGCTGGACTGCGCAAGCTGAGAAAGATCATATTTCTCTATGTAGCAAATTCAGCAAAGTTGATTGCTGAGTGAGAGTTGAAGTCATCAAAGCCCTGTCCGTGGGTTTTATTGTGCTCTCGCTAACGAGCGAGCGGTACAACAGCCTTACGTTACACCACATGGACAAGACTCATCTTTATCTGCAGCTTGTAGGTGGCAGTGACCTCTCAGACTCCCTCCCAGAGATACTGTGTCAAAGTACGTAGGGCTGAGCATCCTACCAGAACCCACTAGATCATCCTGTCGCTTACCTCTGGCTAAAGTCCTCAGAAGCAGCGGAAAATGGGACTGATAGACCTGTCTAGGGGAAACGGCTCCTGACTCCATGGGCTGTCATGGGCTGTAGGAGCTGGGCCATGCCCGTGCCTCCTTAATCCAACTGAGGTACTGGAGAAGGAGGCAGAAGCACCAACTTCTTCAGGAGCTGGTAGCTGCTGTCTTGCAGATGTTTAAGTGCTGCTGCCACGCTGTAGCAAGCAATTCGGAAGCCGCCTTGTCACCTCTTGTGAGCGCCTGTGTCTCGGAACAGGTTGGGTTTTGCTCGTTACTAACTACAGGCTGCTCTGGCCCTGATGCTGGGGGCTGGGAGAATTTGTGCTGAGAATAGGCTGTTAACCAAACCGTAGGACCAAGGGGTGAAGAAAGATTTTCATGAGAGAGCCCCAAAAATGATTGTGGCCTGGGGAACCATGGTGGAGCCTGAGGTTTTTGAGTCATGGCAATTTGGTGGCTGCTGAAGATAAGGGCCAGGCCTAGGAGGGATGAGCTCAACATAGGGTGTGCTCTTGCCTGGAATTGTTGAGAACTCTGGGAAATGCTGGGTATGGGTCTGGTTAGGACAGTGCTAACTTTGTCTGTGGCTCTGTTTCAGCTGCTTTCTTCCAAGACTGCATATCTGAACAGGACCTGGATGAAATGAACATTGAAATAATTCGAAACACGCTCTATAAGGTAAAGGTGCCTCTGGGGAGGGCGGAGATGTTGACTTCCCTGTTTGTTCCTACTGTGACTATGGCTCTGTCTTGGGTCAGGAGCTCCAACCTAGGCTGGCTTTCTTCACCCAAAAACGAGAGGCTATTTCTGCTTGTAGGGACTTACAAATAATTTTGCTTTCTCTCTTTCTTCCCTGGAGTGGTGATAAAGATGATGAACAGCTGCTTGCATCCACTAGAAAGTAAAGACAGTGCTCCTGGAGCACCTGACAGCCGATCACCCAGAGTCAGGGCACCAGTGCTGGGCAGAGCAGGGATTTTTTTTTTTTTGGAGCTGTCAAGCTGTCGAGAGGCTGTGCAAGAGATTTTGCAGAGATTAAGCCTTTGAATAAATTTCCGCAGGCCCCAGGCAGGCAGGGGAGGGCTGCTCCTCAACCCCACGAGCTTAGACAGGTAGCTAACGGCGTTCAGAGGGCTGAAGCGCCTAGATCTTCAACTTGGACTTCCACGGCCTTGGCTGTCTGGTTTGAGCTCTGTCGGAAGAGGCTCCCG